CATGGATCTAGACAGGCCAATCGCAAGTGAAGGCTACTGTTGTCTCCTAACAGCTGTTCTGTGGCCTCTGTGAAATGCGTGGTGGCTTTCATCCAGATACTGGGCAGCTGTTGCCTCACAAAAAGCATTGCCACAATTGGCATTAATTGGCTCTCTGTTGGTGGCCTCCACTGGCAATTCATTGAACCTTTTCTTTCCCTGCCTTTCTCCTACTGTCTTTATCTGCCTTTTCCTCTTCATTTTTGCTTTCTCTCTCCTTTTTATTTCCTTTGTCTTCTTTCCCCCCTCTGTCTTACCAGTAGGTAGCCTGGAAAATTAAAGAGAAACCACAGTTCCTGAGGGAAGAATGCATTAACACCTCAGATGGGTGCTGTCTGCCAGCACTGGAGAGGAACCTACGGAGAGGGCTGCTGGGAGACAATGCTCAGACCTCCCTAGGCATCAGCCTGCCCTCCCGCCCCCAAGTTGCTTTGCTCAAGGTGTGTCAGAGTTTACTGTGGGACTGTGTATTTTATCCATTGAGCTTCTCCTTTCATCACAAGGCAGAGAACACGGCTGTGTTTATAGAATGGATGGGCCCACGGGGAATTTTGAGTGATTCAGTAGTTGTGGTGTAAGCCCTTCATCATAACTCCCTGTCAGGCACAGTCACTAGAGGCAGAAGGTTCTACAGTTTGTGATTCCTTGCCCTGATAAGAGCAGCGCTGTTTTAGGGGTTGTGTATGGCAACCTTAATCTCAAATCCAAAATCAGCATAGCTGCTGTTTCCAGACATTTTTGGATTTATAATGTATTTATTTGACAAGTTTTTAATAAAGTAAAAATGAAATGCCATTTTTTTTATTATGCACTTGACAAATCACTTGATTTAGAAAGAATAAAATTCCACAAAACAAAGACAGCTTGAAAGTCCATGGTATGAACCGTTAAAATCACAGAACTGTCTGGATGCTCTTCTGCTCCTTCAAATATAAAAAGGAAATAGTAGTGGCAACTGTTGTGCTTAAAATTTCCAAGTCTGCTTTCAGATTATCCAACTTTATTTTCTCAATCTCAATTTTAGAGTCAAGAAGAGGACTAAAGAAAAGCTAGTGACTCATATACTTGTTATTTTCCAACCAGAAAGAGGCAACAGTAGGACATGATGCTCTTTTACTATGGGAATATAAAAAAGTTAAAACAATTTTGCAAAGTTTTTTTCATAAAAAGCCCAAAGCATTTTGCCCAAGGCTGCTTCTCTTTGGAATTTAAACCCCATGTACAACATCATATGGGGAAATGCAACCAACATGCCACTCATTTGTTTGCATTTAACTCATTGCATGTTGATTGCTAAGAACACATACATGACCAAGAAGATATCCAAGCTGCTAAGAACACAGCTATCCAAGCCCTTTGAAAGGACACATGAAATCTAAACAAGGAGTCTCAGTCTGGACAGTCTTAAACAGATGTGAAGTCCTCACAGCTTTTGCCATTTTGAAGATTAAATTACTAGCAAACCACTTTCGACAAGGGTTTTAGTTCTCAGAGTAATGACCAGGACCCGTAACAGACATTAAAGAAAAAAAGTGAAGCTTATTTAGAGTTAGGGAAAATATCCCAACACCAGCTGGGACTCCCTAATTTTGGTAATCTGCTTTCTCTCATCTATATGATGAGAAAAATCATACTCTGTCACCTTAGGATTATTTTGTTACTTAATGAGTATAAAATTACTTGAAAATCAATATGATAAATACTCTTAATAACTGGAACAAGCAATTGTGGACCATGCATAAAAAAAGAAATAGCTTTGGAGAAATGTAATTTCTTGGATGGACAGATTGTCTATCTGCTAGAGGAATGGCCCACAGTTTTGTGATTTGTTTATTCATTCGTTTAGAAAAATGACAGAAGAAATCTGAGAAATGAGATAATCAGATTGGCTGTGTATCTTTTTGTTCTCGTATTTTTTAAAAAATTCCCTTCAAACACATCTAACCTCAATAAATAAATAAATAAAAAGAAACAAAAGCCCCCAACAGAGTCCTAATTCTAATTTATAACCATTTAAAATCTGGATATGCTTTGAACTTTGCATTTAAAAGAAAGGTTTTTCTGATTTTCTATCAATCCCTCTCCTTAGCTTGCAATTCACAAACGTACTTTTCTCCTTCAGAGGTAAAGCGAGTGAGAGACAATTGGTTTAAAGCTGCTGAAGTCTCCACTGCAGGGGAGCACTGGTTTAATTCAATCAAGGTAGAATGAAGGTCTGAGAAGGGGATAGATTTTAAGGCTTGGGCAGTGAGTGGAAGCAGCATTTCCTGAGTCTACAACGCATTCTGCCATTGTTGGTGGGAACTATGGCAATATAGCTTTCGTATCTCCACCAGTTAAAATACCGTGTTGTCAACTCCCTGCCTTTGTTCTTTCTTTTTTCCCATAAGGACATTGAGTAGTTTGAGAAGATACATGCAGTAAATGTACGTTGTATATATTAGTAATATTCTTTTGCTAACATTGTACGTTAGTCATAGGGAAAATATAATTTTTCTATATGGTTTATATTATTTTTCTAAGCTTTGAAGTATTTAACAATTTTGTCCATGAGATACAAATTCAAAACTCATCGGGAGCCAAACTAAGGAAAAAAAATGAAATAATTTGTAGGGAATGCTGAGAATTGTGTCACAAGAGAGGGCATTGCACAAGGCCACCACGTTTTACAATTCCAGGGCACCCCCCATTCACGTCCTATTGTATGTGAATGGTGCCCCCTAGTGTAGAGCAATGCAGAGGCCCTCTACATGCCCTGTTCATTCATTCATTCAGAACATCCACATTGAGCTGTGCGCCAAGCATGGTTCTAGGTGTTGGGGAGGTAGCAGTGAACAAAGTGGGCAAGAATCCCTGATCTCATAGAACCTAAAGGCATTCTCTTTTGATTATTATTTTTTAAAGGCAAAAAGCAACCTGCCAACCAAACAAAATGCATCAATATGCAGAATTCAGCTCACAGGACCACAAATTAATGACTCTTGTCTAGACTTCTGAATTATTTCTGTGATCATGAAGGTGTTAGCCACATGGAAAAAATACACAATACACTAACCACAAGCTTGCACCTACTGCTTAGCTTATGCCTAATGAGAGCTCTGGCTACATAGAAAACTCAGCTAATTAATTTTCAATTACAATTTTACACCCCATCCCGAAGTCTGTACTTGCCTTACCTTCTTCCAAGAAAACATAATTCCTAGAGGTGATCTGTTAGGTAACACAGGATGAAAAAGTAGAATAAAATGGGGGTCATGCCATTCTGCCAAAGCATTGTCTGCCTAAATATCTATCGTAAAGACTCATGGGAGAGGCAAGCCATTGAAAAATGGTCAGGGTGGCACCTTGAGCCAATTCAGTCTGCTCTTAACCTCCTATACATTTAATTAAAATTTTTTTCAAACAAAAAGGAAGATTCTTTAAAGTGTCAGGTCTCTTGGGGTTATGCTAACAGAAGCAGGTGAAACACCAAATTTAAAGAGCTTTCATAAATAATTAATTTCTCAGCCTTTTGGCTTCTTAATGCTAGTCAATGGAAAGTTTTAATTTTATCTGCAAAATGAAGCTAAAAGAATGTCACCTAGTTCCTTCCCTGTCTGGAGGAATTTGGATTTTTTTTTTTTTTTTTCATTAGAAGCTTGGGTAAAACTAAGAAGAAACCTGTATTCAAGTTTCTGCAAGAAGCTTTAAAGAAATGCTGTGATGGTACTGAAATAGTTTACAAGTTTTCCACCTACTACTCACTTTGCATTTTCTTAAATAAGATAATGACTCAAAAAAATTTAAAGGACCTAGGTCACAGATCTTACGAAGAATTGGAGTCATGGTATAAAGGTGTAAAGATTGTATATAAACATTCATATTTTCCAAGAAACAGAGCAAAGACCACCTGTGATAACTCTTCCTCTTTTCTACCTGCCTTCCAGGATCCTTTCTTTCCAAAATCCCTCATAAATTAATGATAATGATAATCGGAAGAGAGAGTGTCGGCCAAATCAATCTGCACATTATATTAAATTACTTTTCCCAAAGTTTGGAAGCATTTCCTGAAAGCTGTCAAGGGTATTAGTTTTCTTCTCTCTCTTTAAATCACAAAGCAAAATTCCACTGTCTCTCCCCCACCCCTTCTAAAAAAAAAAAAAGTTGTCGAGTTTTGCTTTTCTATTCACTGCAGTCCTGGCCAAAGTAAAGCCCTCTTTCTCAATGACGTCAAGATCTTTACCAAGATTAGGCTTTCATTTCTCTATTGCAGCAATTAGCCAGGGAATGTATAAAAGGCGTCAGGGAGACTCACTGGGCTGCAGAGAGAGGCACTTTGCACTACGGACAGCTAGCAAGAAGGGAAAGACAGAGAGTGAGAAAAAAGAGGAGTCAGTCGCTCCTGGGGAAGAAAGTGAGACTGGGAGAAAGAGAAGCACAGAAAGTGTGTGTAAAACGGAGTAAAGAAAGAAAAAAAAAAAAACAAAACTACCCTTAAAGCACATTAAAAAAAAAAAACAAAAAACAAACAAACAAAAAAAACTGGCAATTCAAGAAAGAAACAGGCTACGTTTAAAGATCATAGAGACAATGAAAGGCTAAAGAAAATTTTAAAATCTCTGCCACAGTCTCATAGGTGCTTGGAAATGAAAGTAGAACTGCCTGTCTTTAACGGACTCTGACAGGGGTAACTGGATTAGGGACGAGTACGCCAGTTTTTTTTTTTTTTTTAACATCTTAAATCCTGAAAAAAAAAAAAAAAAAAAAAAAAAGCAGCAGCTCCGAATTGAATGAATTGATGGGCACACTCCAACTGCCGGGCTGGAGAGACTGGACTTACTCTTGCCATTTCTGCTTCTTTGAAAGAGGAGACAACTTGGGCTTCCTTTTAATTTAGTTTTTTTTTCCCCCTTCTCCCCCAACCCCCAACCTTCCCCCTTACCTCCCCCACCCCCTTTATCACCACCCCCCTTTTAAATAAGAGGGTGAAGGGGAACCAGAGCGCACAAGGGAACTGACTCAGGAGGCAGAGAAGATGGGCATCCTCAGCGTAGACTTGCTGATCACACTGCAAATTCTGCCAGTTTTTTTCTCCAACTGCCTCTTCCTGGCGCTCTATGACTCGGTCATTCTGCTCAAGCACGTGGTGCTGCTGTTGAGCCGCTCCAAGTCCACTCGCGGAGAGTGGCGGCGCATGCTGACCTCAGAGGGACTGCGCTGCGTCTGGAAGAGCTTCCTCCTCGATGCCTACAAACAGGTGAGCTGAACTGAGAAGGGCTTCTCCTTAGGTCTACAGGGGCAGGGGCTCACATGCTGGGGACCAGAGGCCATTGGGAGCACGGGGGTGAGAGCTGTGAAGCCCTATTTGTGGGGCTGCCAAGTGAGCCTCTAAGTTTACTTTCTACACCTGTTGCACAGGTTAGTTTGGGAGGGTGACAGCTATTAAGCCATAATAACTCTGTGTGACCTAATAAGGAGTCTTTCTACTAAGGGTTATTCATATCTTGCTGTGATTTGGGAGTAGAAGGCATTTGTGCTGGTACAATAACTTGGGAAAAGTCAGAAAATGATTGGGAAGAGGAGACTGCTGCATTTATTCTGCTCTTGCCATAAACTGGAATTTTGATTTTTTGCTTGATGCGAGGCTATCAAGTGAGGTACGCTGAGGAAGTATGCTCGAGGGGTGGGTACTGAAAAGCAAGAAATGGGAAATGCTACTCAAAACTCTCAGACAGCTGACAAAATAAGAAAATGGTCATAGAAAGTGTGATTGGGCATCATAGCTGCTTGGTTTCTTGTCGAGGTAAGAGTTAATGAAAGCAAGCAGCAGTGTACCACCTCCTCTACATTGATTCAAACTTGAACCCTTTGGAAGCGATTTTCAGGCAGTGAGTCCTGAGTGACTAGATACCAACTTGCAAAAGAAAAATCTGAAAACTAGCTGTCAGAAATCCAGCATTTGCAAGGGGAGCCCCCTTTACTTTGTTTCTCAAAAATAAAATATGTTGCCCTAGAAAGAGATGATGGGTCTATGCTTCATTAAATCTCAGAGCTGTTATGAGCATTAGGGCAGTGGTCTCCCTTACCTGGTCGGGTAGCGTCCAGGGGCTGCTCTCTCAAAATCAGAGGTGGTGATCTTAGTTTCTAAATGCAAAATACTGTGTTCCAGGCTTTTTGCTGGTTAGAGATGTTGGTAGAGCATTTTCAACTAAGATCTTCAGGGGCACAGAGGAAGATTTTGGCCCTGGTCTTTTGTCAGTTTTCTGCTACCTGCTATGCCCATATGACTTCTAAAGTTCCCCTCCACCCCCTCAACCAGGCTTGAGAAGAATGAACTATTTTGGCAAAAGTAGTTATCAAAATAGACAATCTTGGTTTCCCTAAAAGTGTAGTGGGACCTTGCCCAAGATGCCAGAAAAAGGAACTGTACATCTGTATTTTAGAGGAATATAGAAGCCAGGTGTTCAGTGAAGTGGTGTGCTTTAGGCAGGCAGCACCTTAGAACCAGAGACGGGGAACTTGAAATAGTAGAGGCACAAGGGAATGTGTCCTCCATAAATAAACACTAGAAAAATAAAACCATGCACCAGGAAAAGAGAAGAAGTAACTTGTAAAATTACAAAGAATTCAGGACAGGATTGTTCTTCTGAAAATCAGATGTTCGAGAAGAAAATATCTGTTGTGAACTAGGAAAATTTTACCACAATACATGTCTTTATTACTGATAGTAACCTAAAGAGAGTTTGTGTTTATTGTTGTTAAAAATGTGAATGGCAAGAGCTCTTTTTAGGAGATGGAAATTCTTTTATGAGAATATGAATTTGTGCTCAAAGTTCTAACAGTAAAAACTCGTTTATATTGTGCATGTCAGAGAGGATGGGAGATCTAGAGAAGTAGATATTGAATTCATCATTTCATTTCCACAAAAGTATACATTGAATGGGAAGTTTTTATGGTTTGTTTTAGGGGAAGGCAATTTGGAGGCAGGAGGAGGAGTACACAAGTATATCAGACATTAATTAGGAAGTTCCCTGTTCAACATCCTATTTTATATGTGTTAGCAGACACCATGGAAATATCAGTGGTTTGATCTCAGTATATTAAACTCTTACTTTTTGGAAGGACAATTGCCTTTTGTCTATAAAGTAAAAAAACAAAAACAAAAACAAAAACAAAGCACTTATTGGAAGAATTTTACTTATATACATAGATTTCTTATATAAATGTCATGTTTCATTAAGAAAAACATGAAAAAAGTCATCTCTCACATAAACAATGGGGGCTGTAATGTTACCCACAAATATTAAGTGAGGTTATTTCTCCCATTAAGCAGCTTATTGAACATAAAATGGAAAAACAAACAAATACCTCTTTAATAAAGTTTATTGTTTTTTTCACTAATGTATAGTGTTCCATTGTGCTGCAATATGTTGTTATTCCTATTCCAGGAAATTGGGAAGGATGAGTGATTTGTTTTTTCTTTTTGCATGTGGTTTGTATATTCCTCTTCTGTATTTTTTTGTCCCTGCCTACTGATTTGATTAGTGACCAAGTTCACGACTGATGTTATTACGTTTGCTTTTGATGATTTATGTAATAGCTACCATGTGTAGAAGCAACCTCAGGACCCACATGTCCAAAGACAAGACTGGAGTGGGTGTGTGATAAATGGAAACATTATGAACACAGCTGGAACTGAATGATGGTCTCTTTCTGTCTTCAAGTATGGCAAGGGTAGTGGTTTCTCTGGTGGCATTTGAGGGTCACTCAGAACCTCTCAACCAGGTTGAATCACTTCTCTGAATGCTGTTGTCATCTGTGCCACTGTCTTTGGGTGTAGTCATTTCTAGAGACATTGTAGGAGGTTCTGTTTGAGATGGCATCACACTATTTCATAATCCTGATTTGCATTATTTCAAGGCTGCCCATCCCTAGAAGTGAAGTTTTCCAGGATGAGAGGGGTGTGTGCCCATGTGATAAAACTAGACATGTGATTTGCCGTTATTAATTCTCCTTGTTGCTGCATGTCAGATGCCCAGAAAGATACATAGAGAAAGTGGAGTAAAAGTATTATCCCTGTGCTTTGCCTCCACAAGGGGCAACACAGAAATAAAGAAAGAACAAAATAAATTTTTCTTTTATTTTGATTTTTTTAAATAAACCCTTTCTTAAAAGGTTGAAAAGGATTTGAATTAACTTTATGGAGAAGCCTTTAAAGATAATGTGAGTTTAGTAAGAGATGGATTCTGTGTACAATTTTGATTGAAAGGAAAGTCTATAGACACTGGTGAGAGACCCTGAGGTGAATAAAAGGTGTTTGTTATTTAAGTTTCTGCAGTCAGTGTCATTGCATCTGAACAGTATATCCTTGTGTTGGTGCTCAGAGACTAAAAACATGCAACCAATAAGCAAACTGCTCTGTCTGGGAGCCTGGCTCTTACCTAAATGAAGTGTAAAAGTAAACACACAGTATAGATGCTGACAGGCAGTTTAGCTTCTGCACGGTTAATATTGCAGAGTTACAGAAAACATATTCATTTGAACATATAATTTTGGTTTTGAAAGGGTCTCTTTAACATTCTCCTCCTCCTCTTCATTCACCTCAAGCCTTTGACACTAGTTTCCACAATGGAAAATGGCCCTTTTAAGAGAGAAACAGTCCCCAAAGAACACAAAGCAGGCCACAGCCAGAGCTTGTCCATCACTTGGATAAAACATTGGGGAATGATAGAGCTTAGAGCTACATTTTCAAGGTACAAATTAAAAAGAGAATAGCTAAAAGGGAATTGAGCTCAGAGGAAGGAGTACGTAGCCTATTCTTCAACTCTGATTTATTTGGCCAATCTGAATATAAATGGTTAAATCTCTGCTTAATGATAGTTTGGCCATGTTTCTAAGGACATTGATGTAGCCTGGTCATTATGTCAAAGAATTTGAAACTTCCTGATAGTTAATAAAGCCATTTTCAGGGCTTTGGACAGCAAGAAGTATGTGTGAAAATTCTGCTGCCACACACCCACCCTTCATTTTTATAATTTACTTTACATTCTATTATGAGATTATGTGATATATTGTCCACAAGCCTTTCTCAGGCTGTGGAAAAGAAAAAGAAATAAAACTCCAAAACAAAAAACAAGGTTAGTAGTATATGCTGTATTTTCTGCTTCTACTTGATGAATGGTTCTTTTCTCTCCCTTGCCCTGCATTTCACAGTCCACATGCTAAAGCAGCATTTCCTTTTTCCCCATGCACTGAACACTGAACATCATCAAGGGAATCGAATTTTTATATATGCTATATGTTTATGTTCATGTTCATACTTATAAAGATGTCCATTGCAACATCTGAACTTGGCCCAGAGATGTCTTCTGTTGTAAAAATGCAAATCCTTTATTTACCTCCTTTGTTGGTGTTGTGTTGATGTTGCTTGCAAAATCGTAAGAAAGGACCACTGTAATAGTGCAGATGAGAGAGATAAAAGTCAGCGATGACAATATCACATTTTACGTATGTCCTTTCTGATCCTTGCAGAATAAAGGGACCCTTTGGGAACATCGGAACTTCAAGACCAATTAGTGGAAATGATGCTTCTTGTGTTTGGGCATTAAATACTGGGCAGGGTTCTCTTTAGAGCAGCTAATGCTGGCAGGGAAAGAGGTACCGACCTAATTACTCTTCCGCAAGAGTAAAAAATGCCTTTTGAATGCCTCTTTGGCAAATATGTCTCATTAAGGACAAAAACCAAACACAAACCCTCTAAGAAGAAGAAATTAAGATGATAGGTAACTTGTGGCCAGACTTTCTGTGCCACTGTGGGAAATTAAAACAAAGTTTGGGAGTACCAAGGGATAACTTGTTTTTGTTGAGCTTCTTTCCTGCAGCCTAAATGTTATTATGGGACCGACTTTATTTTCTTCATCATTTTGGCTCTGTGTCAAGGAATGCTTTGCTCCTGGGGAGAGCAAACAATCTTCCATCATCGAAGACAATGGTGATTCTCCCAGCCTGTCTCAGCAGGGCGCATAACCCAGCAAACCAAGAAGTTCTCCATTTGAAACTCTGCTCTGTTAGGAATTTAATTTTTATGGTGACCAAATGGGGAGATGAGAATGAACAGTAATATCTTTTTAGAATATTTTCTTTTAGTTTAAAGGAAACTTCCATATCTAAAAAAAGTGTTTTTTTCTTTATTTTAGCTAAATTGTCCTCCATCAGGTTTTAGCAAAGATGGACACATTTTATGACTAGTATATGAAGCTTATAAAAGCAGACTACTGGTCTACTCACATTTGGATTTATGGATGGTGGGTGTGTGTTTTTCCTTCTTAGTTTTATTAATAATATTAATTTTATCTATGCATTTTCTCTTGTCTAGGCACCTTCATGAATAAGAATATCCATTTATGACATTGTAAGATTCAGTAAGGGACCCTGGCTGCTCAAAAAAATAAAAAGAATAGGCCACATTTGTTTTGTGCACTGACCAGATGCGACAATCAAGGACGGATCAATGACACTGAGTGGTGATTATGGTAGTACTCTACGAGACAGCTCCAGGATTCGTATTTCTAAATTTATCTGCCTCAGTGAGCTTATCCATCACCCAAATATGATTATGTTCATTGCAGATCAGGGTGATGATTATGTGTAAAATTCTTCACTGACCTAGGATTATAACAACTAGCATTCATTCAATAAAATAAATACTTCCCTGTCTAACCCTAATCCTAACAAAATGCTAAATCCCCCACATAAAGAGCATTATGAATTTGGTAACTTTCCTAATTTTTCATTTTAGAGTGACAGTGTTATACTTACTCTAAATTTCCCAAGGCAAATTAGTCTGTGTTTTGGAAAGAATTCTGCAGCTGAACTATACATTGTCTCTAAGAAAGAGAGGGTGCATTAACTTCCCAAGAAAATTTACTGCAGGTAACAAGAGAGCCTACTGTGACAAAAGCATCAGATTAGATTATTCAGTTGAATAATCAGACATAATGAAAGGATCAACAGGTCTGCTTGGATGAGTCGGGGGTTAGAGGCCCATTTATCAAGGCCACATAATTGTTCATAGGTTTCAAAAATGATTCCAAAATGCAGATGCATGTTTTTACCTATCAAGAACCTACAAGTGTACAGGTTGCTTACTTAACAGGAAGTCACTATAACAGACTAATCTGAATGCATTTAGGTCTTCTTATCACAGTATGTTGAGGTACACAGTACACATGATATTGTTAAAACATCCCTTCTAGAATCATTACTATTATCTCAAATGGGAAAGATCTAAAGAGAAGAGGCTGCTACCCACTACCTAGATCTATAAAAAAGGAAGTACAAAAATAATCAATGGATTAAAATGTTTGTAATACCTTCAACATGTATATCTTTAAGTTTGATGTATATTTTCATGCCTTAAAGACTAGTGTAGTTCATATGAAAGAATCCAGCTACATGTGCTTATTAGATTTCTCCATCTAGTGTCACTTGCAAATTAACCAAGAAAGTTAGTATAAGTAAAATAATTTTCTCTGTGGCGGTGACTAAAAAACAAAATGTACTTACTTAAATCACACCAGCATCTTCCTTTCTAAGAAGGAAGATTATTACCATAAGATTTCTCTTAGAACACTAATAATGCTTATTTCAAACATGCCCTGCTAGGATTTTTTAGAAGGGAGAGAAAGAACTTTAATTCTTTCTCTACAGTTAAAATGAGTTATGCATTAACAGTAGATAGAAGCTTCTGACTAAAAGCCCTTGAGTGTGTTATATCAGTTTGGATTGTTAAATCTTTAACAATTCACTTCTAAGTGACTTCAATTAACAGTAACATTATGTGTGGCTATATGTATATGAGGGAAATAAGTCGATCCAGTTGGAAGTATATTATAATATTAAGGATAGTATATAAAAATCAATTGTACTGTCGTAAGTTGTCCCTAATGTTATTGGCTTTGATTAAACCATTCCAAGGAAGATCCAACTGTATTAATTCAAACTGAAGTAATTGGCTCTTTTACTGTTGCCTGCTTTTTATTATCAATTTACAGATTCAAAGGCTGCAAACTTTCCTTCATTCTGTTTTCAACTATTTAAACCATGTGCAAAGGGAACACATGAAACAATTTTTATCTCTACCTCTTCTGCCCCAATATTTTATAATTCAGAGGAGCTTGTTAACAAATTGTGGGGTAGAAAAGTACTTTTTAGTGTGACTGCCTAGATAAAGAGAGGGAAACAAGCACACTTGGAAAATGAGAAATTAATATAGAACTCTGGAGTAACCATTTTTGTTTCTTTTTGTCTTTTTTTTTTTTTTTAAATGGAAATTGTAAGTTTGGAGTGGTAAGAACCACCTTGTAAGCAGTGGCAGTAGAAGCCTCCAGGGAGGACGCTATCTTGAGGAGAGTTCAAAGCTTTGCTCAGGATAGATATATATTTTAAACACAAAATTGCCCAAGAATGATGATGTTTTATTTCACATGGTGGGGTAGCATCTGATAAGGGCAACACACACCCATATAATTACAGTGCACAAAGAGCTCTTTTTCGCTTGTTGCCCTCCAGTTGCCATATGTGGAAGACAGGCATTATTATTTCCATTTTACGGGTGGGAAAACTGAATCACTAAAGAGGTTAAGTGGAAGTAACCCTTCTTATAAATGGTAGACCTCAGGTTTTCTAGGTCTGGCCAAGAATAGAGCCCACTGGTATCATTGGCCATTGGTTGAGATTAAATGACTTAGTATCATGCAAGAAAATAAAGGTCCTGCCTGGTGTTTCAGAATTCAGAAGGAGGCACCATGTCCCAAGACCCTGATAATTTGTCTTAAAGTAGACCATTTGCTTCTAACTTTTAAAATGAAGTCAATTAATCATTTGTTATCGAATGCACGTTAAGAATTGACAGCAAAATAAGGACAGTAAAGAATACCAGCCTTGGCTTAATTATAAAAAGAGTTAACTCCAGTGCCTTCAGTGATGAAAATAATTACCTTCAGTGACTATAAAGAATAAAAAAGACTTTTATTCTCTTTTGGGCCATTCTTTACATTACCTGCCATGAAGCCTCTTTACTCAAATCGATACATGTTTACCACATGCTCTGAAGGAAGTATCACGTTCTGTTAGAGCCCATTGTAACTATTTAATGTGAATTGAAGTGGCAATGTGTTTAATGTGATGTTCTCACCTTCTTTTTTTTTGCTTTACCCTCAGGTGAAATTGGGTGAGGATGCCCCCAATTCCAGTGTGGTGCATGTCTCCAGTGCAGAAGGAGGTGACAACAGTGGCCACGGTACCCAGGAGAAGATAGCGGAGGGAGCCGCATGCCACCTCCTTGACTTTGCTAGCCCTGAGCGCCCACTAGTGGTCAACTTTGGTTCAGCCACTTGACCTCCTTTCACGAGCCAGCTGCCAGCCTTCCGCAAACTGGTGGAAGAGTTCTCCTCAGTGGCCGACTTCCTGCTGGTCTACATTGATGAGGCTCATCCATCAGACGGCTGGGCGATACCTGGGGACTCCTCTTTGTCTTTTGAGGTGAAGAAGCACCAGAACCAGGAAGATCGATGTGCAGCAGCCCAGCAGCTTCTGGAGCGTTTCTCCTTGCCGCCCCAGTGCCGAGTTGTGGCTGACCGCATGGACAATAACGCCAACATAGCTTACGGGGTAGCCTTTGAACGTGTGTGCATTGTGCAGAGACAGAAAATCGCTTATCTGGGAGGAAAGGGCCCCTTCTCCTACAACCTTCAAGAAGTCCGGCATTGGCTGGAGAAGAATTTCAGCAAGAGATGAAAGAAAACTAGATTAGCTGGTTAAAGGTATGATTATAAGAGAGCTTATTGTTTTAAAAAGTTATATAAAGGCAAGGACATTAAGAACTGAATCCCTATTTCAACAGAGCCCTATTGGCTTACTGAAAGACAGGAGTTTATCGGAAGAACATGAATCTCTAACAGATCCATACTTCTTTCACTACTCAAATGGCATTGGGCTAAGTAGTAGCCGTATCACCTCTCTTCTTAGTAAAAAGCCCTATGTGAAAAGATCCCAAGACGGAGAGGAAGAAACCCTGATTCAGCGTGTGTTCATTCTGCATTGAGAAGGAACTGATACAGCTGATGCATGCTTTGAGACCAGAGGAAAAGACTTACCTGAATAATTACTACATTAGGGAAGCTACTGTCTACGTTAAGATAAAGGGTATTGCCTTGGCTCTATTTGGCATGGATGGAGCCCAGTTGGAAAATTCCCAAATGTTGCAAGTTCTTGAGCCCAGGCCATGTGGTTAGACATTGGTGGTGTGATTAGACGTTGGTGTTAAGGTTAGACCTTATGTTAGAGTCATTTCTGATGTTCCAGTTTCTAGCCATGTAGTGCTCTCAGTCTTCATATCCCAGAATTTATTGGTATATTTTAGATACCAAGAATGATCCCTCAATCTGGGAGGTTAGAATGATCATCTGTAATCTGATGGTTAATTTCTAGGCAGGTGGAGAGAGTGCTAATAAAGAAATGAAATTGACAAGCTAGGGAGGAGGAGGCAGAAAGATTTAGAAAATTCACAGTTTCTAACCTTAAGCTGTAGAGAGTGGGACTCATTTCTTAACCACAAAAACGTAGAAACATACACAAGGCCAGAAAAAGAAGAAAGAGCTCAACTAAAAGTGGCACAGAGAATACACATATAAAAACAATATATTTGTCATATGCTTTTACAGAGGAGAAAGGGGAGATGGAAAGAAAAGAAATACTTAAATATTTGTAATTATGAGGGGTTTCTTTTGGAAATAATTACTTTTGAACCATGTATGTGGTATGTATATTTTCAGTGGGTTAATTATACCCCATGATACCTATTAAAGGAAAACCAGTGGGTCTGGTGGTGCTGGTGTTTTCCTCTCCATTCCTACAATTACTATGTGGCCCAAGTCATTCCTAATCTCAGTCTCTATAGCAGTGTTCTCTCTGAATGCTGCGCTGAAGAAATTATACGTCCATACATACATACATACAAATATATATATATATACACACACACACACATATATATATATACATACACTCAGCTGCTGTGGGAGGGAGGTACCATGGCCATTCAGCACAGCCTTGATTTCCTCCCATAGTAGGTGAGCTATAATGAAGAATAGGTGCAAACAAACAAGCTTACTTCCATTGCAAAATAGAAGAAGAGGAAGTTAGAGATAATTCTGATCAACCATTTTGGAGGCTTTGTTATAAGGCAACCCCCGGTATCATGGAATTTCCGTTGACCTTTGAATTTGGACTTGGATCTTCCTTTGGTCCCATTAGCTGAGGTTTAGTTCCTCAGTATCTAAAGTCCCTATAGTATATGATTATAATGCTATTTTAATATATATATATTTTCTTTTTAAAATAGACACTATAGTTTTACCCATAAGTAATATTTAAGATTATAGCCCCCAAAAGAATAGACCAACCAATTTCGTATCATAATTTCTTTTGTAAATGTGAGACTATTATGAAATCATAGTATATGATTGTATTTGATGGTACAGTCGAAGGATCTTTTGTCCATTCCATTAATAACTGAATAAAAAAATAAAATGGATAGATAAAAACTAAAGTTGAAAATACATTCTTAAACTAGTTGTCTGAAATGAGAAAAGCATGAGAACTAGGTGTGCAAGAACCAAAAGTATTTTATTTTATTTTTTAAATGGGAGCAACATATCAGTCACATCACTAGCTGGTATATTGTGTAAATATTAAAGCTCCATTGTGACTGATTTTTCATGGCAACATCAGCTTTCTAATGTTTTAAATTCTATAAAAACCACCCACAAACAAAACAAATTTCAAAAATGTGATGTTATCTAATGAGTTGCTGGAAAATCATACTGAGAATAATCATTTCCGAGTCCTCAGTTGTTAACCTCTACATTCAAGGCTTATCTCGGCCCCCATTGATTTTTAACCTCAAAATGGTGTTGAGATTTGCGTGGGACGCTAAAGCAGTAACATAAAGAACCCGGTTGCAGCACATTCACACTGTTGTCCTTAAGCTTCCCCTTTGTTCTATATGTACGATAATGTAACAGTATGTCAGATAAGCCGGTGGGGGGATGAGATTTGGCTGAGGCAGTGCTAGTCAACTGGGGAAAAGGATGATGGAAAAATCACCCAGTTGTGCTATATTTTTAAAGAAGGAGGTCGTTTATGTGTGTGCAGACAATTCTCCCTGAGGATAGCCCAATGGAGAAATGAAGCAGAGGAAGGAAACATAGAAAGACATAGGCTACCAGGGAGGAAGATGTTCGATAGAACATGTAAGAATTTTCTGGAAGAAAGGCTGTGGAAGGGCCAATGGAGAAAATGAATGGACAAAGCTCAGGAATCCTACACTATGTAGAATGCCTTGGTGTTATCAGGGTTAAGTCTGTAATTATGTAACCTATTTATCGCAACATGAATTTTTATGATTTCTTGTGATGTATTCTTTTATGAAATTAACAAGAACTCATTATTTTGAGGTAGAGGAAAATCAATGCTTTAGCTGATATGCTGAGAAATTATTAGTTTGCCAATACTCACCTACCTATCATGTGTTTTATAAGGTATGTTCCTTTGAAGAATTGTAGTTCTTAGTCTCACAGGGAAAAGTATATCTATTTATATATCATAGTATATATCTATGATATATTTATATCATATACAAAAGTCTGAGTTCTCTTTCTTATTCCCTAATCATGTTTCTCCCATAGGCTGTGTTTACATGGAGCTATCAGTTAGGCCTTTTAAGCTGCATTAGCTTGTCTATTATTGAAATAGTTTCCAAGAAATTTTAGATATTATCATAGCATCTGGGTTTACTCAAACACTTATTGTTTGAAAGACTTATGTCTTGGAACTATCAAAAACTGACTTTATTTATTGCTTAGTGAAAATACTAGTGGGATCAACAATGATTTTCTTGAACGGGCATGAATGGAGATGCCTGCATAGTAATGTAGAAGTGTTTCATACAGCTATTAAAATGTAACTGACCTCCTTAGAGGCAGATTAGTAACTGTTCCTGCTTTGTATAGCTAAGTGACAGCCACTTAACTTACATGACTTTCTTTTTTCACATTGGGTCTCTGGTCCTGTGTCTTCACCTCATTTATAGAACGTCTCCTTGATTTTTGGTAATATCAACTTCCCAGGGATCTGCTTAGTTAATTTTTTCTCCCATTAACCAGGAAGTGCTCATTCTCTCATCAAGGTGGGAAGAATAGCCTATTGTCTTTCATTTTGCCTGAGTGTAGTTTACTATTTGGGCTCTTAAATAAAAATTATGAAATATCGTGAGGTCACATGTTGGTGCTACCTTGCTGCACAAAATTCTAGAGGGCAGGTTAGAGACAATATGTATGCCTTTGGGAAAAGCCAAAGGTGGATTATAAGGTGTTCTCAGCACGCCCTGTGGGCTATGTGCAAAGCAAGAGGGATTGACTGATTTACAGGATGTCCCTTTATGTCAATCATAAGAGGATGGATGAATCTGGACATTTGTTCCACCCGACCTCTGACTGATGGTTTGGAAAATAAGTTTAATTAGAGTCATATGACCATTGAAAAAGGAAAAATGTAGACACTGACTTCTGTCCTACTGAAGGATTAATGAAAACCTTTACTAGCATTTAGAGCTTTTCAGAACATCCCCAATGTCATGTGTCTCAGCAGTGGAGACTGACAGTAAGGCTTTTGACTTTAGGAGCCTCTTTTTTTTCCCCCTTAATGGTATTGCCAAAAATCAGAGTTAAAATATATATAGTTAGATTCCAACTTCCTCCTTCACTCTAAAAATAGAATCCAAACCCACTCTTCATATATACTTCCGGAATGGGGCTTGAGTACCAATGTCTGCTTTGCAACTGGCACAATCTTGGTCATGTCCTGAGGCTCTCTAAGAAAAGAGAGGATCTAGGGTGGGAGAGCTAGAAAGTTGCTAACTGGGAAGAACAAGGCCCTGAGGGCTTGGTCTACAAATCTGGGAAGATTTGAAAACAAACTTCTCACAACTGAAGGAAGGCTGAAGGCTGCTGCAAGTCATTGAGTGACTTTAGGATGAGCAAAACATCGGGCCACTTCCTAATGCCCTATGTGTATAGTACCAGAAGCAAGGTCTCAGATTTAACAGACCCAGCTCTGTTCCAAGGTGAGTCTGAACCAATAGAAGGCAAACATGTGCAGATATCCAAACAAGACTGCTCATGCAAGTCAGGGCTGACTGCCCGTCTTAGGCAGCAACAGCAGAGCTCCAGGGAGCTTATTCAATATTTACTGAGACTTCGAAGACCCAGCAGATGTTTAATGAAGTCACTATTTTGGCTCAAACCCTCCATTTCTCCCCCTCCCCTGAAAAAGCAAACAGGTAAACACATGAATGAAAGAAACCCACAGAAGGGGATGGGAAATAAAGAAAATTCTCTCAAGACTTCTCCAGGCCCATGTCACTGGTCAGTGTGGGTTTTATGTGTGTTAGGATTGGGGGATGTAAAGAAATAAGTATCCAGTATTTTATAACCAAAGCAATGAAATGATATTGGGTAGGGAATGTTGGCCAGTTTTGTTTAGTTTTGCATCACATTGTCACCAGACTCACTAGCCCAAGTAATCGGGCACCCGAAGAGGGAGACAGAGATGTGCAGAGTTGACCAGTGTGCGGATGATAACTACTGACGAAAGAGTCATCGACTCAGTTAGTGGTTGGATGTAGTCACATTAGTTTGCCTCTCCCCATCTTTGTCTCCCTGGCAAGGAGAATATTCGGGACATGATGCTAAGAGTCCTGGGTAAATGTGGTGAGAATGCATGCGTGCATATGCTACTCATATGTGCTTCTCAGTTGCAGAAAATGAACTGCTTTGGAGATTATCAGTAGAAAGAGTGCTAT